CCCGCCGGAGGGGCAGGGGGGGGGGGTGCGAAAAAGCCCGCGAAAGCCGTAGGAAAAGCCCTTCACGCGGAATATCCCCTCGCCGTCGCCGTTGTTGTCGATCTCGCGGCATTCGAGCAGGAGGCCATCGCACGGGGCGACCGCCCGGGCGTCGGGGGCGATCGGCCGACTCGCCGGGCGCCACTCGCGGGTGTAGAAGTCCTGCAGGGTGTCAAAGCGCGTCTCGCGGGCGTCCGCCAGGGCCACGTCGAACCCCCACACCAGCAGACGAATCCCCGCGCGATGGAGCGCCGGGGGGAGCGCCGTGGAGTCCGCCAGGCCCCCCGCGAAGCTCGACAGCCGATTCAGCGGCAGCAGCCAAAGCAAATCCATCAGCCCCGGCGAGCCGACGAAGTAGCCGGACTCGTTTCCGTAGGCCCGGGCCTCCCAGCCCGCCAGGTGGTACATCAGGCCCAGGTAGCCCACGACGCCGAGCGCCCCGGCGGCGACCAAATAATGGTAAACATAACGCCGCAGGGGGTTGCTCATTCGAGAGGCCGTGCGGGGGTTGTAGAAGGCCCGCAGGGGGGTGCGCCTCAGTAATCCCATCCTCTTGGCCTTCCCTTTGGCGAGGCGCGATCGATGGGCGATTTCGTTTCGTTCCTTGAGTTTTGTATTTTATTTTATTTATTTATTTATTCTTTTTATTGGGTGAAGTTGTCTTGTGGTGAGTTCGGCATGTGCTGCCCGCCTCGTTCCCCCTCCTTTGCGGATGGAATAGAAGAGTAATTCGTTCGAAAGCGGTGCGGAACACATTTTGTTATACCCGCGTCGGTTAACTTCATGCAGTTTTATTAGTATTATGATGATTATTGGTGGTGTATAGGCTTCTACCCTCCTATTGTGATAGGGGTGCGGGGTAGAAAGCAATATATCGATCTATCTATTTATCTCTCTCTCTCTTTTTCTCTTTCTCTCACTATATATATATGTATATATATATCTGTATATCTCATAAAGAGATTTACCCATGGTTGTTAACTCGGAAAACGAAGAAGTCGCCGAAAGACCGACGCACGAAGCAAAATAGACGGCAAAAGACCGACCAAACTGACGCCGAAGAAGTACAAACAAACGCCACTTGGGAAGGTGGAGGCGATGGCGATAAAAATAGGGCAGGAAAGGCGCGCGGCCCCGATAAACACGGCCATCCGCCTTGTGCGCATCGCACTCCGCAAGGATAATTCCAAATTCAGAAGCGTCAGCCCCCCGCAGATCGCCGGGAGGGAAAAGGTGGGATCGGGAAGGGCCAACGCCTTGCACCACAGAAACGCCGACGCCCCGACCGACATCCGCGGGTCCGCGCATAAAACGGCGGTTCGATAGAGCCCATAGGCGATCAAAGGCGCCCCCACAAGGGAGGAAAAACACTGCAGGTGGGAGGTGCGATAGGTTTTGAAGATCAGCCGGCGCTCGCTCTTGTAGACGCTCGCGGCGAGCTGCAGCCTGAGCGGGGAGGGGTTGGCGTGGGCGGCGCGTTGGAAGCGGTCGTGGGATTTCGCCAGACTCGGGCGCGCGAGCCGCATCCGGGCCGCGGCCCGCTCGCCGTGGAGGACGAAATACAGCGTTAAGAGCCGGGTGAGGCCGCCCCAGAGGGCGATAACCCCCCCGGGCGCCAGCCC